TATTTCCTTAAGGCATGGGCTACCTTAAATCCCTTCAGTGAGTCTATCGGAAACTTTCCCATCAACCCGAGGGCACAAACTCCAACTGAAATTATAGCTGGCCTCATGTGACACGTTTTATAGGTTTCCAATTCAAGATCCTTGAATTTTGATAGTTTTTTTTTGAAGGTCTTCAATGATATATTGCAATTTGCAGGGACTGCCATGTCAGTAAGAAAGCACATACTGTTTTTGTGGTCTTTGATCACGATGTATGGGTGATTAGCTTTTTATTGTTCCGACTGTGTGTATTGTAAATTCCCATAAATTTGTTACAGGTCCTATCTCTGTAATAGGGTCTGGGTGATGTTAATACCAGTTTCCTTTCGGTAAAAGTTGCATATTTTCCAGTGCAGATATCGGCCCACTCTAACCTGCCAAGTGTTATATTCATTTGGTGCTAACATCGTGCAACCTGATGCAAGATGGTCAATTGTTTCTTGATATTTATCACAGAATTTCGAGTTAACGTTATTATTGACGTATATTGAACTTACAACTTTTTGGGTTTAATCGCTGGATCTAACCAACGTTTTTTATCCACTGGAGGCCACAGCAGTGATGAAACAAAAAAACTTGGAGTGTTGAGTTAAAGGGAAATAACTAAGAGATCCGGAAGAGGCATGGCACACGGAACTAGAACAATTTACCCCAGTGGACGAAATAAAGGGTTCACTTCGAAATTCCAATCACTTGAAAAAGGCCGGAGCGTACAACGATTGAAATGTTGTGAATATGGCAATGGAAATGAGGATAACAGTCTGAGTAAGGTAAATAATGTAAGTAATCATAATATCTCATCTCGGAGATATAGACAGATAGCCGCAAATAATTAACATTGCCTTTTTTATAGCCATCTCTTATTTATATTATTTCCAATTAAGACTGTTTTTAAATTTACATAAGGAGTGAAGAAATATTTATATTTATCACAGAATCTGCATTTCGGAGTAACATAATTTTTCAGTATGTGTACTTGGTAATTTTTAGTTAGCAAGCACTGTGCAGCAAGAATAAAAACCTTCAGTTTCAGCTTTTAACCCTGCACTACGTAACCACTGATGGGTATGGGGTTTGTCTACATCAGCTTGTGTGGTACGGACAGAATATTGACCATAAAGAGCCTTTTCTTTATTATTATTATTATTATTATTAGTAGTAGTAGTAGTAGTAGCAGTAGCAGTAGTAGTAGAATATTGCAATTTTTAAGATATCTCGCCCTTAGTAACTGGGTATTTTCACCGGAGAAAGCCTCTTCAGTACATCAGCACTTTACTCACTATCTTACCTACCTTCTAAAATCTCAGATGTTTGGATTTCTTCCAACTCTGCCGCTGACATCCAGTTCTTCCATTCTATTTCCCAGACTCTTTGAGACAGTTCCCAGTGCTCTGTAAACGACTGAAACAACCTTTACCTATTTCCGTTATGTTACCTTCTCACTCACAAAATCATCTCTCTGCATAACATTCTTTTTTGTTTATTCTTCCCACACTGATGACGCCGATTCTCCTTATAGATTTCGACCCCCACCCAACCCCATCCAATCTCTCGCTCTCTCTCCTCTTGATATTCGGGTTATTTATTGCAGATGCAAGGATGTGTGAAGATTAAAAATGACAAGACCTCATGAATTAGATATTTCCGGTTCAGATTTAAACCTCTCCGCAGTAGACCTGCTTGATAAATATTTTAACCAACTGAACATAAGAAACAAAAAAGGGAAACTTCACGAGCACTGCCATAAGCTGATTAAACTATAGATTAGGGCCATACACTAAATCATCAAAAATGATATAAAATTAAAGCATATAATAATTATCAATGTTTATTTATTTATATATTTCCTGTCCCAGCTGTAGTGAGAAGGGAGGTAAATCAACTTAAGTTAGTAAATCTATGAGTAATTACTTCCCTTAGTTATTTTAATAATGTATCTAAATAAAATATTCATCTGTATTTAGACAAAATTAGTTCCCGAGCAAATTGAAACGTTTATTTAATCAGTTCCTTTGCTGCTATGTTTCTTAGATTACAGTCTTATTTCTTCAAGCCTTTTACGTGAAGCACTCAGATACCTTTGTCCATTAAGTGATCGCCTTGCTTCAACTTGGTCTTGAAATAGGCTTTTTTGTCGCCATATTTGTCGTTCTGTTGCTAATTGTTGTAACCTAAGGATGGTTACTGAATAGAATAATCACACGAAAGTTGGTAATGAACGATAATACTTAGGACAAGAACAACACATATAAGAATCGCCAGCGGCGCGTAGAAGTAATCAACTGCTAGAAGTGAGTCAAATGAATTCCACAATGAATCTCCAACTGCAGGATATCTACCAACGTCCCCACGCGGTCAGATGTGGCACAAGGCCGAATTTAATGTGGGGTATCCGAGCTTGTATCTCGAACAAAAATTCCCCATAGACTTCGTATAAATTGGCGTCGGGTAGCTGTTTGCCGAGATGAGACGAGACGAGACAAAACTCTGCCCTTCGATATAGCCTCGTCTAGGGATCCTTTATGCCCGGAGGCAGGGAGTTTGAACAGCACAGCTGGAGACGAATCTCCAACTGTAGGATATATCTACCAACCGCCCCACGCGGTCAGATGTGGTACAAGGCCGAATTGAATGTGGGGTATCCGAGCTTGTAGTATCGACCAAAAATTCCCGTAGACTTCGTATAAATCGTGGTCGGGTAGTTGTTTCCCGAGTCGAGTCGAGTCGAGACTCTGCCCTTCGATATAGCCTCGTCTAGGGATTCTTTCCTGCTCGGAGGCAGGGAGTTTGACCAGCACTGTTGGAGACGAATCTCTAACTGCAGGATATCAACCAACCGCTCCACGCGGTCAGATGTGGCACAAGGTCGAATTTAATGTGGAGACTCCGAGCCTGTAGGCTCGTCCAAAAATTCCGCGTACACTTAGTATAAAACGGGGCCCGTTAGCTGTTGCCCTTCGACATAGCCTCGTCTGGGGATCCTCTCTGCACGGAGGCAGAGAGTTTCGCCAACACTGCTGAAGAGGAATCTCCGACTGCAGACTAACATACAGTATTTACTACTGTATTTATGTGAATGGGGACATATTCCTTATCGTCCGTAGGTTTGCTACAACACTAATCTTTGTCTTTCCAGCGTTATTTCCATTTTACCGTCATATTAAACATAAAATTTTTAACATGAAAATATATTGAGCAAAAATCAATTTGTATAATGCCAAGAGTAATCAATGAATCATTGATACTATTGATATTGTCTAAATAATATAAATGGAACGGATTAATTAATCGGTTGATTAGCCTCTGTTTTAGTTGTGGATTCTTTATCTTCGTTTAATTAAATCTCAATACATTCTTTCCAGACTTTTGTTTCATTGCATCCAACTTAAAACATTCTAACAACTGTCGTCATTCTTGACGACACGGAAACATTAGTCATTAGTAAATAATAATAATCTTGTATAATTATTAATTTTTGTATCAGACTTTATTTTTTTATAGACGGGAATCAAATTTCATAATGCTCAAGGTATTAAGCAGAGTGAAAGGCTGACCCTGCTGGCGAGTGCAGGTCATGAATTTCAATGTTTTCGTGCCCTTAATCTCCTGACCTCAGTTGAGCAACATGCTCCATAAGCATGTTGCTCAACTGCTTTATCGAGAGTCTGTACAATATAATGCTCCATAAGTTTTCTATGGGTTTGAGGTCAGGAGATTTGGGGCGGCCATGTCATAACACTCACCTGCTTCTCATCAAAGTATTCCTTCATCAATTTTGGTTTGTGAGAGGGAATATTATCCTGCATAAAAATGAGCTTGGTTGGGTCGATTTGCACCTTTTCAGCAGAAGGGAGCAGACAAGACTCTAAAATTCTCTTGTACTGCTCACTCCTAGGGTCTTTTCAATAGGTTTTAAGAAACCAGTTCCATGAAAAGGAAAGCATCCCCAAAACATTATACTGAACGGATGCTTGACAGACCCTTTTATCGAACAGCACTATATATATATATATACAAAAACCAAATACAAAGGTTAATGATTTAATTGGCGAGAAATCCATCGTCGCGAACAATTCAAATAATATACACAAACCCCGAATCTGTTTATGAATGAAAAGATCATTGTTTTTATAAATTCCTGCTGCATGAGTTCTTATTATTTTTACAAGCTTTCGTCTGTTCCTACAGACATCCTCGGGCATGGAATAGATTTTGTTCTTGTTTTTTCTCTCAGTAATAAGAGGAAAACGAAAAATCCGAAAAATGCTATTAGAAATGAGTTATTATTTTTGGAGCGAGCTGTCGCAACGCTAAGTTTGAATTTAAATTTTACAATTGTGCGTTCTTATACAAATATGGTGATAAGCGAATTCTTTTTTACTGGTAAATTTTCTGTCAAAGTGACATGAATTTTATTGTTCAATAATTACATATATATGGTGGACCCTCCCGTCGTATCCGACGTATGAGGGTCAAGCAGATCAGTTCCTCGGAACCGAAAGCCTGACACCAGTAGATATGATTTGATTATAGAACCAACTACACTTTTTGAAGGCTCGAATACAGAGATCTGGTGCACTATGTGCCACAAGTTCCCCAAACACCCTTCCGCAGGTTTAGAATAAATTCGGAGTTCTCTTTTCCTCGACCAGTTGCCTTCCAAGTTGACATCTGTACTGCTATTCTATACATAACCGAGGGAAGAAAAGAGGATTCATACCTTTCCCAAGGGTATTAGCACGTGAATGAATGTAATGGACTCGACTGGAATTCGAACTCGACTCACTATCCATTACTCCACGTCCCTCCTTTTTTTATATATATATATATATATATATATATATATATATATATATATATATAGTGGTGGATTCAAGGTTATCTGCGCGTAAGTGACTATAACGAACCCAACGGGAATTGGAACTCGGCTCTCCGATTAACAACTTCGAGCTATTATCTAT